ATTATAATGGGATGGGAAAACTGACGTTGCCAAATCTGATGTTGTTTGTGTGGTAATGGCTATTATAGTATTAGTGATTATCTGAATGATTTATCTGAATGAACTCTGGAAATGAATTGATCGCTCCAGGCTCTTTCAAGTGGAATTTAATAAATGTAATTTTTTTGGCAAGTAAAAAAAAAATGTCCCGCTGAGTTTCTTACGGCGGTTCTTCTCAGGTCAGTGGCTTTCCTTACGACCCGGTGGTAGAGTTTTTTGACTATCAATAAGTAAGTGAATGCTTCTATATTGAATAAAGATATTTGACTTTGACTTTGACTTTTTTTTTTATGCGAAAAGTTGTCAAACGAGCAGACGGTTCACCTGATGTTAAGTGAATACCGCCGCCCATGGACATCTGCCACACCCGAGGGTTAAGGCCCATTTACATGGTGCCAGTTTCTTGCCTGTTGTATACAATTAAATTGAAGCAATAAATGAGTTGCATGGTCTAAACAACAAATGGTCTAAACAATTATTGCGCGCAATTTATTGCATTCAATTATTGTTCTTGTATGTACAAGAAAATGGCATCGTGTAAATGGGCCTTTACAGAGGCGTTGACAACCTTTTGAAAATTGGGCTCCGGCTACCTCACTCACCAGACGAAACGCGAAAGTATTTGTCATACTTTCACTTTACGCCGGTCTTCTGTGAGGTCGTGGTACTTACCCGGACGGGCCTGCCCATTCGTGCAACAGCCGAGGCTGCTGCGTGGCCCTACCACCGTAAAAACTAATAATACAAAAAAGGTTTCAAAAACATTTGTAGACGTAGCCCTAATACGCTCTGTATAGAGGAGGCTTTCGCCCAGCGGTGGGGACATATAGGGTTGTTCCTTTACCGATACTTAGGCAGGGCTCAATAAAAAAGATAAGAAGAAAAAAACATCACCATATCGAAATTAATCTTACGGCCACACAAAGCGATTGAAATCCAACATAAAGCAAATCGAACAAAACCAAACTTCGATGCGATTCTTTATAGTTTCGAAATGTTTTCAATTTTCATTTTTCCATTCTTAGAACTTTTCGCCCGTGTAGCGTTTCTCGTTTGTTCGCTGCACGACTATTCCGAATCTCGAAGGCGGGAATTTCATTTCAAAAACAATTTCCGTGCTTTTTCTCCCGGCGGAGCGTGCTCTTACAAAATTTGATCGTTCGAGCGGCCTTTTGCCGCCGATTGAACGAAAATTGCCGGCCGACTTCTTTATCTTTATTGTTTGTACGCCAAATCACTTTTAAAGTTATACTTCCTTTGGCGCGTTTCGGAAAAAACGATGACAGTGAATTTTCGCGACGCACGACACTCACGATGTGTTACCATGGTAACCAATAACAACTTTTTGACATTTACCTACATCGACATTATATCCAAACAAGATAGTCAACACTAGTTTCATAATATATAGGTACCTATATATTATGAAACTAGTGCACTGAAATTTAGGCGCTCAAATTACGCCAATTGGTGTGTATGCACATAAAGTAAAAAGTAAAGTAACAGCCTATACATGTCCCACTGCTGGGCAAAGGCCTCCTCTATACAGAGGGTATCAGGGCATAGTCCACCACCCGGCCCCACTGCGGATTGGTGGACTTCACACATCTTCGAAAAATATTATTTTTTTGTTACTATTTTTGACGTATGCACATACGTCACCTTTATGAATATTACTTCATTAAACCTTTATCAGTTACATTTGATGTCTTTTTCACAAACAAAGAGATTTTTCTCTTCTTACGCCGTATAGAAATTTAGGACGAAGCTGTATTAGGACCACTGCGAGTTGGTCGCCTTCATTTATGCATGCATGCCTGTTTCCTTAATTTTTTTTATCACAGTAGAGTACCTGATAGGTCATCGTTTTAAATTGCAACTTATAATTTCATTGGTGTCGGAATGAATTCGAATCGACAAAGTCCTCTATACAGAGCGTATTGGGCTACGTCTACAAATGTTTTTGAAACTTTTTTTGTATTATTAGTTCGATGTATCCACGTTTCCTTACGATGTTTCCTTCCAGCATGTGATTCCAGTAGGTGTGTTGTAAGTGCAACTAATAATTTTATTGGATTCGAACTTAGATTACTCTAGTATATTGAATTAAAAGCGATCGCCCGTATATTGAGCTATCACGGCCCAGCCTCAGTTGCTGCCCCAAGTTTTCAGTGGTTAGAAATCACACATGGCACTTTCTTTCTTAGAGGGATTTTAAAGAATGGCGAAGCGACAGTCAGGCGCTATTCAGGGCTGTGAAAACACAACAATTTCGCGTTGTAGACGTCACGCCAAAGAATTCACGGCGACGGAGAGAGCAATATGCAGACGCGAGACGGCTAATCCACTGCCGCCATTAATGATTCATCAAACATCTCCATTTGGAAACTAAAACAAACAGGCCGCTGCGTTTCCGCCGAAAGAGGGTCGAGGGCGCACTCCATTTTGAGCGCTCTCGGCTCGTTTTTTCGTCGGCACCGACACGTTCCAGTTGTATTTATTTTGGGTTCGTGCATTCGAAGCGAGCGGGAAGTAATAATTTTTGGGCTACGCGTCCAATCGCAGCTACAGCGATTGTTTTTGCACGCAATTTTTCAATAGAATTGTTAAAGTTGTTGATTGAATTGTTATAGACAACATCGTTGACTTTGGCAGGCGCAGTTTTCGATGGAGACAATACCGCGCAATTTCGAAATGACGGATTGATTTTGTGTGGCGGAAAAGTTTGTGTGCCAGTATTGATCGTCAGTTATAACTCTATTATATATATATATATCGGATTTAGTCTGGACGAGGCACAGTTTGCTACAGTAGGCAAGCTGGTTGAGTAAACAGTAGTTACGAATTTCTTTGCGGGACTGTGATCAATCTTAATCCGCTTCAGGTACATATAGAGCGTCTAAGTGGCTCAGACATCGAGATCTTTTCGGTATACAACATCGATCATGTTGGTAATTTATTTGAAAACGGCTCATAAATCAAATCTCTCATCGAATGTCTTCGCCTCGACAAAGATATTAATTAAAGTTAGAAATAACTATCGTAATCATCATCGTTTCAGCCTGTTTAAGCCCACTGCTAAACATAGGCCTAATCCCCCCCCCCCCCCCATCCCCTACCAGGTCTGCGCCCGAATCGTTGGACCGTTCGCACATTTTCTCCATTAACAATAAAGCACTTTTAACGGGGCAACGGCGTTATTAAATTCTAATGTCTTCACAGTACTCAGCGAGCTCGATTTCGTAAATGAGTTATATTGAGACAAGACATTTTTCACGTAATTATACGACGGAGTGCAAATTCCCTGGAGACGTACTTGGAAACGGGCGAAAGTAATCTGATTTCAATTCGTTTTGTTTTATCCTTTTAAGTCTAATATAGGTTCTTTATCTCCGGTTCGACCTTTTTTGTCTAATTGATTTTGCTATTATTTCGCTTATTCAAAATTAATTAATAAAGTTCCAATAACATTCATTTGAAATAGATGAAGTTATTTTTCCTATACTTTTGTTTAAAATTAATTATTCATTAGTTTAATTTGGTATCCTAACCTTATCTTATCGTTCTTAAATATGATACTAATATTGTATTTTATATTAACGTTGCACTCTCTGCCTTGATTCTTATAGAAAGCATTAGCGACTATTTTATGAGATGTATTAAGTATCATCGTAGCATTTATATCAATGTTTTTAACGAATTCATTATGTAAGGTAAAAAAGATCGCATAACTACCATTTTAAAAAAATATTGTCTTTAAAGATCTCCCCATAAGTCTAAGAAAAATCGACATAACTTTAAGTTCCAAGCAACGCTATAAAAGTTGAGAGAAATTTAAAAACAGAGGACTTGTGAGGACATGTGAGCGATAAATTCAAGTTTCTTGTAGAGCAATGTAACTTTTATATTGCGTGCTCCCGTATCAGAAAAGTATTGGATTTATTTCCCTTTATTTTTATAAGTACATTTAACTTAGATATTGCTTTTCATTGTTACTACCATTAAGCACTCACATATATACATAGGTTTGTATGCGTAAGGAAACTAAATAATGATTTATTGTTAAGTCTAAATTATGACCTCGATAAAAACAGCTAACCCAAAGGAACTAATCTCATCAACTCCTTATATAAATTTGTTCAAGAAACGTGTTAATTCATATTAACGATAAAACTATTTATATCTAAACTCAAAATAGTGTCTAAATATTAAAATTTATAGAAAAAGTACGAAAAGATTGTTGCCGCTGTGGGAATCGAACCCACATCCTCGGCATTCGCGGCCTAACGCTTTAGTCACTAAGCTAAACGACTGATTGCAAGACCAACAAAATTTTAACGACTTTTATTTACATTTATTGCTTCAAATAGCTTGGCGCATCCATTCCAGCATACAAACAATTTCGAATATCGTTTTACAACGATAATTCAAACGAGAGACGTCGCCATTGCTTTTTTGAAATTTAAATTTTTATTGTGCTAATCTCTGCACTAAATTAAAAGATTAAACATTAAAATTTTGTAGAAAAGATTGTCGCTGGAAACATTTGGGAATCGAACTCTACAAAGATTTTCGGCTACTATTTTAAAGTTAACGCTGATATTAGCCACAAGCAAAACGGATTGTATCAGAATTCCCGGCCACACTAAGGATTTATTTAAAAAGAAGAAGACAAATTTACGCCAGACTTGCAAGTTTTTGAGCCGTATCGTAAATGTAGCCACGAAATGACAGTCACTCTTATTCTTAACCACGATGTTGTAAATATGGAATACCTCTTTGGCCTATATAGGCACAAAGTTATACTTAATGACAAGGTTAAGATGATCCACGGAAAATTTACACGAGGGGTAAATGTTGACGATGAAATACTGCTCGTTTTATACTTTCTATATTGAACATAACTTACTAACTCTGAATTTATTCGTTTGTATTTTACATTCGACTATATAACCACTTACCTGGTTTGATGCAGGACATTCCGCACGCTCCATCGCACAGGCATTTCTTCTTTTTGCTTTTGCAGTCTTCATCGGAAGAACACTTGCGTAGGCATTTCTGACCCTGCACACCGAGAATAATTATTAGCGTGGGAATTAGGGATGTGAAACGATTTCCTTCTAGCACTGAAATAGTTTTTCACGAAATGTCTTCTGTTATTGCATCTTTACGTGTCGTATTACGGAAGAGGACTATATGGTTTTAGGACAGACGCTCGTATTTTTGTTTGAGGAATACATTAAAAGATAGCTCAGCAGTAATTTTAAATAATAATGCTAGTTACGTAACGCGTTTTAAATTATTTATTACTTGTGAAAAAAAAAAACATTTTCATCTTACACAACATAGCCGTCAAGAGCATTTGAATTATTTACATCTACATTTCTAAATTGGTTTATTCTACCAGATGACTTTGAACGTCAGCGTCTACGTTCAGCATTTTATAATGCCGTGATGAAGTTTATGTTCAATTATCTACAAAAAATTACACTGTAAAGTCAGTTTTTATTTATGCCTTAAACTTTTGTAGGTGGTTTTATCACGCATCAGCCACATCGTCGTCAGAGCTGCCGACGTCCACATCAGTGATCACTTACCACCAATGTGGAGGCTTCCACTTTTCCAACTTCCGTAGAAAATAGAGAAGAAATAAAGAAGGTGAGTGTTCCAACTCAGCCTTCGACCCTGGTGGTCAATATTAAGTTAATTTCGATTTCAAATAACATTATTCAATGTAGAACACTTACTGATTGTCAAAACCACTACTACCGGTTCGGGGAAAACCCGAGAAGAACCGGCGAAAGAAACACAGCGGTGTAATACGAATAAACTACTCACAAGTAGGGTAGCTTGCTCCTCGTCGCGAGGACAATCAGCCGAAGGTGAATTGCGAGGGTTCTTATAGACCCTACCGTCGTCATCAGCTTCGGAACGGGTCTGCGGCGTGGTGTCTTCGTCGTCGTCGTCATCTTCCGCCGTAGGGCTGGGAAGCGATGACGCTGTGAACGGAAACACGCGGTGAGAGTCACGCCAATAAACCCCTACTTATTTCAATAAAAAAAAATATGTGAGAGAGTGGCAAGTGAGCTGGCGGTTCACCTGATGTAAAGTGATAATGCCATGGACATTAGGAACATCCGCAGGGTTGCAGGTGCATTGCCACACTTTAATAAAATGGGCCGCGGCTGCCTCATTCACCAGACGAAACGCAGAAGTATAAACACTTCCACTTCATGCCGGTCTTCTGCGAGATCGTGGTACTTCTCCGAACGAACCTGCCCGTTCATGAAACAGTCGAAGCTGATGTGTCCATTCATGATTATTGACATTTACATATTACCACATTAAGATATGTAATATGTAAATGTCAATAATCATGAATGTCATAATGTAAATTGTGGCAGACCCACGCAGCAGTCATTGCTCTTCAGGAATGGGCAGGTTTTTTGGGGAAGTACCACGACCTCACAGAAGATCAGTGTGAAGTGAAAAAGTTATGCTTCTGCATTTCTTCTGGTGGTGAGCTAACCGCTGCGTCGCCGTACCACAATTTATTCAGCGAAGACATACAGAATATACAGGCATGTATCAGAGCTGGTTGCTCGCTAGGCTAAGCAGACGAGTATAAGGTAGGGAAGGCGATAATCATAGAATAGGAAATATTACCCAATGTTGAGAAGGGTTATAAAACAGGCAAAACACATTGACGCAACGACAGAGGCACCATAACCACCCAACGTCGCCAAGATTGAAACAATAGGTGAGACAAATGTTCTAAACCCAAACCTACGAACTCTATTCTGTATTATCTAAGATATAAGCACTTAATGAAAATAATTAAAGTACCAAACACTGTCAATGGCAAATTTATGAATCAAAACATTTTCAACACCACACGTGTAAATGAAAATATAAACATACAATGAAATAGAATTTGCATGTAGAAATTTGATATGAGCACACTTGGATGCACCTCGCGGTATGCATGAATATAGGGCCTGGCGTACGTAATAAGCGTAGCGGATAGCGAATAAAAATAATTATTTCTACGAGAAAATTATTTGTATGAGAAAAACGGAATAACAAACTTATCCCATTCAATTGAGAACCTCCAATAGGTTCGAAACCATTCAGGGCTTCCTAACTAAACCATTAGTTAGTAGACTCCGTGGCGCAGTCGCCCAGGTATTGGCTTCGGCGTCGGGGGTCGTAGGTTCGATTCCCACACGGGACAACTATTTGTGTGACCCCCAGATAGTTAATTCGCATCTCGGCGTTTGTCCGCGTGTAATTTATGTTTGTAAAACATCCCTACAACGCAGGATAATGTTATCCCTAAGTAAGGGCAACGTTTTACTTCTAATAAGAATCATAAGAATAGTTCCTTTTTTGTAAGCTGACGAGGAGTCAACTACCATTTATTATTCCGGTGATCATATTCTTTAATGTATTACGTAAATATTCTTAGTATATTATAAAACCATTTCTATTTCGTGGCACATCTGTGAACTAGAAAGGGAGACCGAGTGAAAATCAACCCTTAAAGTTTTTATTTTACTTGCAGATTGGATTTCCCCTTTTTATTTTAAACATTTTGTATTATAATGCATATATGCATATATTATTGGGATAGAATGAATATCTCCATGTCTTTACAGAGACGTGTGTCCAGCCCTATCTGTGTACAAAATATCATATTATCCGTTACTCCTTTGTTGCTTTAAATAAGGACAAAAAGGTTCATTTTATCATTTATTTGTTCATTTAAGAGAACCAATGCTTCAAAACTTGTTCGATGGCGTCAACGATGGCACGGATATCGCAATAGGATTATTGAAAAAAAAAAAAGAAAATCAACAGCCTTTATATGTCCCACTGCTGGGAAAGGCCAGAGGTTATCAGGGCATACTCCACTACATAACACCATTGCGGATGGGCAGAATGAAGCTTCGAATTATGTTTCTAAATACTTCATCATTATTTCGAAAATATGCAAGTTCACTGAAGATATTTTCATACACCGCCAAGTAATTCTTAAAAAATAACAATTACATTGGCCCCGACACCGGGTTATGAACTCACGACGCTCGAGTATATTGACTGGAAAGCGGGCGCCTGCACACTGAGCTATCACGGCTCTACGTTTTTAAAGTAAAGTAAAGTAACAGCCTATACATGTCCCACTGCTGGGCAAAGGCCTCCTGTATACAGAGGGTATCAGGGCATAGTCCACCACGCGGCCCCACTGCGGATTGGCGGACTTCACATATCTTCGAAATATTTTTTTTTATTATTTCGAAAATATGCAGGTTTCCTCACGACGATATTTTCCTTCACCGCGGAGCACGTGATAAGTGAGCACTTAAAGTTAAAAACTTCATTGGTGCCGGCACCGGGGATCGAACTCAGGTTGCTCGAGTATATTGAATTAAAGGCGAGCGCCCGGACACTGAGCTATCACGGCTCTACGTTTTACGTTCCGCTTATATCGAGAGGCATTCATCCGCTGCTAAGTTACGTCTGTTCGTTATCCGGTCACTTTTACCGGAACGACATAAGATCACTCACCGACAGCTCGCGGGCTGTGACGCAAACGTTCGCGTATCTCCGGGACTTTCTATTGAATCAAGCGCAGGTACCTAAAACGTATCTGAAACTGAGAACGTACTAGAAAAGAGGCGGAACTATAATGAACAGCAGAGTTACAACGGCCTCGACTAGTCATGATTAATAAATAATTATAAATGTTCATCTAATAATAATTCATTACATTACTAAATTTCAGTGTTTTCAGCGAAACGTCATGAATTAATACAAAAAATAAACGCAATAAATCCGTAAACATAGTTTCATTTAGTAATATCATCTAATGTCAATTATTCAGGAAAGCCAATATGACACAATTTGTCCGCTCTATACGATGACCAGGCCCACTGCCTGTGTCTTTGTGACGAAACATTTGCTTCATTAATAGTGTATATACACTAATTAAAGCAATGTTTAGTCACAAAGAGGGTTAGCAGGGTTAGGAGGGGTTAATAAAAGGGTTTAAACGTTATTCATTTCAAAGTAAAAGTCAAATTTATTTATTTAATATAGGTTTTTTTTTTATTTCTACAGTGCTTATCTCTACACTTAAGATTAAAACATTGAGGTTTGTAGAAAAAAGTACGAAGTTTCCGCCGTGGGAATCGAACCCACGTCTTCAGCATTCGCGCACTGACGCCATACCAATTGCCACACCGACGAAAATGTCAACGTCTTTTATCTAGCGTCCTTTATCTAGCGAGCAACGCAGCAGCCTCGGCTGTTGCACGAATGGGCAGGCTCGTCCGGCTAAGTACCACGACCTCACAGAAGATCGGCGTAAAGTGGAGTTTTGCGTCGCGTTTCGTCTGGTGAGTGAGGTGGCCGGAGCCCAATCTCCAAAAAGGTTGTCAACGCATTTGCAAACCCTCGGGTGTAGCAGATGTTCATGGGCGGCGGTATTCACTTAACATCGGGTGATCCGTCAGCACGTTTGGCAACTTTTCACATAAAAAAAAACATTGTTTTTTTAGCATTTGAAGCAAAGCTTGGCGCATCCATTGTTATATCCTTTCCAAGGCGCGAAACGACGTGGGTTCGATTCCCATAGCGGCGACCAACTTTTCGTACTTTTTTCTACAAATTTCAACAATATTGGCTAAAACAAACTCTCTTTGAACGTCACCAAAAACCACCACCGGTTTACTAAATTAGAACCCGCACAGGGAAGAACCGCCGAGAAACTCTGCGGTCTTTTTATCTTTTTTTAAATGGCATTTCTAACAATGGGAGCGGTTTTCTTTACACTATCACGGGAAAACATCATTGTTGGAAACGCAAGCGCGGCGAACAATGACAGTGCTGACAAAGGCGTCGGTTTTTCGAAACACGCATGGACATAGTGAATAGCGCGACTTTCTTCGTGTCAAGCGCTACGCAGCATTTTATCACAGCCCCGACAATCAATAAGTAAATGTAATCGTTAATGGTAAGCGCAGACTCAGTAACGGGTGATATCTAAAACCGGTAAAATCCTGGCGAGTATGCTGTTAGTTTAGTCCCTTTGGCTTGGACTGTAGTTTTAACAAGTCTATAATTTTATTAACATAAACAAAACCGACTTCAAACATCTCACCATCATCATCATCTGAGGCATTACAGCCGCGGGTGGGCCTTAGCCTGGTCAAGCAAATATCTCGCTCTGTATTAATTTTATAACAGATTTTCAGGAGTTAGAGTCAGTCTCCGAAGCCCAAGATCCAATATCAATTAAATTAATATGGGACCACATGGGAAGCATCGGCTTTGAAATAAAAAAAGAATCGTCAAAATTGGTTCACTCAGATGAAAGTTCTGAGGTAACAAACATAAAAAGGTCAACTATACAATAAACTAGCTAATCATATTTTTTTTTGTTTTTCATGTGAAAAGTTGCCAAACGAGCTGACGGTTCACCCGATGTTAAGTGAATACCGCCGCCCATGGACATCTGCTACACCAGAGGGTTTGCTGATGCGTTGACAACCTTTTTGGAAATTGGGCTCCGGCTACCTCACTCACCAGACGAAACGCGAAAGTATTTGTCATACTTTCACTTTACGCCGGTCTCCTGTGAGGTCGTGGTACTTGCCCGGACGAGCCTGCCCATTCGTGCAACAGCGTGGTTACTGCGTGGCTCTACCACCGTTAAATAAAATAAATTATTATACCCATATAAAAAAAATTAGCAGTTTTAAGTCTGACTTATCTCAATACATAATTGATAACTTTTCGCCTAGCTGTAAACTGTTTGGCGACCATTACGTTATTTTATGATTGTATAATATTCTCATATATGTGGCATTGTACTGTCTTTTTTTGGGAATAAATTTTTTAACCTCAAAAAACAACCGTGCCACTCTTACCATTGGTAGCGTCAGCAACTTTTGCTGATGCTAACTAGGCAGGCTCACAAACGTATGGAGAAGAGGTA